TCGTCCTTCAGCAGGGTTCGCTCCTCGACAAGACGATATGCGGGAAGGTCGTACGAGATATCAGTTGACCAGAGAGCATCGAGCGAAGAGGCCATCGAGATGGGAAAAAAGCGGCAGTTTCTGAATCGCATTCTCCTTCGACATCGTTCAGAAATAGAATCAGAGCAGAGAAATTCTATTCTAGTGGACCAACTCTTTTTGCAAGGTTGCAATGGGGATCAGGGATAAAGACCCATATGTGGGTGACAAACACCGAAAGATTCCGTAATTTGATATCTTGCTCACAAGGCTAGCCGCTGATATCTCGGAGTTTCTATAACAGAGGTAGGTCTCCTTTCCCTTGCGTTCTTTGATATAGATATACCCACTGCTGTAAACACATCATATCTTTGATGTTGTATATCTCCCGAAAATGGCATGGGCAGTCAGATTTCGTTTTCGCGTCACATCCCCTGATGACTTTCGACATGTCAATGAAATACCGTTGAGAAAAGGCCAAGGGACGTTGATCGAGCTGATGATTAGATCCCGCCGCCCCCTTCTATAATTCAAACAACTCCCGTTGAAGTCCCGATCCCGCGACCCGCGACCCGCGAGCGAGCCCGCTAACTAAAAACATACTAACGAAGCGATCCAATGCCATGTCTTCACCCCACACCACACCACACCAACAGAGGGACCGTTAGGGTTGCATCGACTTCCATGGCAAAGTTTGGTTCGCAAAGCCGCGAGACCTCTCCCCAAGCGCCGCCCGGGGGCTCGGTTGTGCTCCGTAAGTGAAACTGAAAACCTCCCATTGGCAGGGCGTGGTGGCAGCGGTGATGGGACACATCTGATGGTGGTGATGGTCGCGGTGGTGGCGCCCTGGAGGTGCCGTACCTGCAGTGGTGGACCGTACGATTACCGGGTCCCCGTTCATCGTAGCATTTACAACCACCATGAGGGTTTTCTCCTCACCTTTTTTTATGATTTCCATCAATCAGCATGTCTGAGACGTTCACCTTGATGCTGTTTTGGTCGAAGATCGTCGACTTGGGGAGTTATCGAGGTAACAACCACAATATTAATCAGCGCAGGGACTTTTGAGCTTCGAATCTTCTGTTATCGCCGCCTCTGAGACTTGTTCCCATTCTGAGCCTCCTGCATGGGCGGCAGATTAAACCCGCTCGGTTGAGGCTCAGCGATCATGTTTGAACCATGGCTCACCATTGTGACAGAGCCAGCATCAGAGCCTCGTTCTCCTGAATTCCCTGGTTTCTGGATCCCATAAATTATCCCGTTAAGGCGTGCGAACGGCGTGGTGAAGCCATTTCTGAGTCCGCTATCAGTGCTGGTCAGATCAGATCCAGACGCTTCTTTCTATATCCGACCGCCATCTCATGGCAACCTTCCCGACTTGGATCTTGGTATATATTTGATAACATGCTTCTCAGACAGTCTCACGTCTGCAACGGTTGTCTTTTTTTGCACTCTGTCGTCTGTAAGTGATGATTCCCAGTTATTCCGCCAAGAGCCTCCGTGATGGATTGTCACAGTGGGGTCGCAATGCGCAGATGTGCGTGATGTCGTTGTAGGCGGTTAACGAACCCTTCACCGACGGGATCCGTCTGCGCATCAATACCCATGAGAGAAGAAAAATAAAAATAAAAACAAAAATAGACCTGACGGCTAGGCACTGCTACGTACCTACTACCACTTTGGCTGTCTTGTCAACGTTGACCAACGAGGACCGATTGTTAGGTAATCAGACGTTAGTTGGCCTTAACAGCTATCCGGTACAGCTATCGGGTTCGAGTCAAAGCTTCTGTAAATCACCGGCCTGGCTGGAAAAGAAACGACACGAGGCAGAAAGGGGAGTTTCAAGGTCAAACATCAGCAACTACCCGTAGGTTTGTCACAATGAAGGCTGCACGCTGGAACACTATTGCTGTACCAGTTAGATAGTTTTACCTAACAAACATCGCCCAGCCAGCCTTGCCCAAATGGAATAACATGTCTCTGATATGAGTTTCGAGAGTTCCGTAGTGCATTGGCTGTTCTGTTCGCACACAATATGCGGCATGATATTGCAAGCCTCCCATCGCATCGCACAACGTCGAGGGTTCAGGGTCATCCATTGATGATCGGGCTTGGCTTCCAGTCGCCTGCTGCCGCCAGCATACGCGTCCTCATTGCCTGGGTTTCTTGGCGTGCAGTGATGAGTTCTCATGGATTGGAATATTCATGCCTGTGACTTGCAGAGGCGTGGGAGGCAAACATAGGTATTCGGGCGAAAGGCGATGTTCTTCTCTACCGCTAATTCTCACTCGATTGGAGTACCTCCGATGTAACCCCAAGGCAAAACAAGCAAAACCTAACAGAATCTCACCAAAGCTGTTACTGGATCGCTGCCAAGCAACCCACTGATGCATGTTGACAAGCCTGTGATCGATTGTCACCCGTATCAACTCGCTAGCAGATTGGTTGAAGCTCCTGTTGGCCCCAGATATTCTCGACGCTAAGGGGCATTCCAATCGAGTGAGAAAAAGCGGTATCATAGAGCTCTCCAAGGGTGCGGGGAAGAATTAAAAGAGGGGATATATATCCGGGTTAGGGTTAACTACCGACCCTCTCGTCACCAAGAGCACCAACGACATGGCCAAGTTCATAGCGTGATCAGACGGAGACAACGTTCCTTCTTGGCATCAACCAACCTTTTTCTATTTTAAGATTTTTTTCTCCGGGAGCTAAACTGGAGCACCGGGCGAACTGCTCCAGAGAGGAAGGTACTTTTGTCAATCATCAGGTTCATGATCAGTCGGTCTGGAAGAAGGAGGAAAGCAAATGCAAAATCTCGAGGAGGTTGGATATCTTGTGCGCTTTTCCGTCGAGTATCAGAGTTGAATCTGAACCAATATCAAGCTTGAAGTTTGGCGACTCTGAATCCGAATTCGAAGTCTGCGAGCAAACATTCCGTGTCAGTCCAGTCGAGGAAGCTACACTACCATAGTGTACAGACAGGACCATCCCCGTACGTAACCCTATTTCCACCTCACCTCATTCGTCCCTTCCAAAGCAAGCTGTAAGTCCCCACGTGAACACGCGTCGTTATTGCGTGCTTCCTGTGGAACCCCCATCGACCTTTTCTTCAATAGGTATTCGGCGATAATCGCAGTCGTGGGCCGTGGCCGTTCCAAGTTCCAACGGAACCATCCCGTGAAACTTGGTTCATCCCAGATGTTGCCCCAAACGCCCACTCATGTCCCACTGATGGGGCCGGGACGTTGGGACTCCCGAAAATGCAGGAAACACGTGAGAGCGTGGATGGTTCGTGAACTATCGACTGGGGAAAACAACCAGGAAGACAAACGCGAATACGGCAAATGCCGGTGCTGTACATATATGTACCCACCCAGGGGCCCAGCCCAGCCACCGACGGTCCCCCACCGACCTACCGGGCCCGGGGTTGAGTCGATGTTGGGTCGGCGCTACGTGTAGATGGTCGGCCGGACTGCGGACATGATTGCCGGGTTGGCTCACTGGGCCTGCTGGGCGGCGGCGACACAACCATCAACGGGGCGGACCGGGGGTACTCAAGCACTGTATGGGGCCGCGAGCAAGTTTTCTTTAGAATTTTCAGTGCTGTTTTTCTTTTTCCCAAAGCCCATGGAATCGGGAAACTCTTGCGACTCCCAGAAACGAAAGAGCTTCGACCCACCACCACGCCTCCGCCTGCTCGTCTTTACCTACCTCACATGCTCGGAGATAATTTGGACCTTTTCTCCACGCTCTCCGATTCATGATATGGAGACGAACATGCACGAAAATCGCGCGACCTCACGGGACTTGTGTGTGCTCAGGATGGTTTCGCAGACCGTGGATCCAGGCCCGTCATTACTAAGCGGTCAGTTTGTGAACTGCCGATATTCTGGAAGTTAGAGAAGTTCTTCGTCTCGATCGACGATCGACATTTACCTGGAACGATGGCAAAGATTTTGGATCATGGTCTTCATCGCCACCGATGTTTGTTCATGATAAGTATACACGTACACTACACTAGAGGCGTCGAACTACAGTACCTTACACTGCTTGGCCATGCCATAAGAGTCAACGATGTTCGTTTATGTTGCTCTTCATCAGGACGTAAGTCAAGGGTAAAGACAGCCCAGCGAAATACACACAAAGAACTTCTTCGTGCTGCTACACGTACACTACACTACTCCCCGAGTACATCATCCGATACCACCGGGTACTACTCCTACCGATGATATCGGGTGATGAAATATACATATACGTACTTGTATTATTACTCTAGCATGCACTTTCACGTACATGTACACAATTGGATGGAAGGGGTTTACTTAATACCTAAATCTTTCTTTTCTTGAATACCTCGGAATATCAAAACAAGTATAAGACATACAAACGCCTTTGAATTGTTTCCAACTCTAAGATTTATAAAACCCAACTTGGAGTCAAGGGAGGTAGGAAGGCAGACATGGACTCATTTGAACTTGAACTTGGTTCTCACATGTTCTTTGTGGCATCACTGTTGTTGATATGCCAGTGAGCTTTTGCACCAGGCTTGCTCTGTCATTATCATGTCATGCCATGAATGGTCCTTTGACACGAAAAAAAACCGCCGGAGTTGAATGTTCAGGTCTCATGCAGGAACGAAACTCGCGCGGCAACGAACCTTGAAAGTCACTCGAGAATCGTCTAGACAGACCAAACCAAAGAGAGGATGGAGAGAATAAAAACCGGACAATGCATTAACCCAAATAATAAGTTGTAGTATACCTCCCTACCTGCCTGCGTGCGTGCGTGCGTGCCTCCCTCATAATATGGAAAAAGAAGCCCGCCTTGCTTTTCTCCCTTTTTGTCTCTCCATCAGGCACTATACAATCACTCCCTAATCATCATCTCCATTCCAACACTTTACTTTGATTCATATCCCTCCCATCACACACGCCTCTGAACAGAACATGACACACCTCTGTCTTTTTTTATACTTCGATTTTTTACTGGTTCGGTCTTGAACTGGCCATCTCGCCATACCGACCACGATGTTGTGTCGTATCGTAAGCCTGGAGCACGCGGGTCTGCGACTCGTCGGCCTGCGAGAAGGCGTAACCGCGTTGTTTGCGCATGCGCTGGACCTGGCGGACCTTGCGGATGGCCTTTTGGAACTGTTCCATGCTGTTATCCTTTCGTTAGCAACTGAACGCAATTGTACGCTAGGCATAATGTGGGGAAAGGGAAAATAGAACATACCGAGGCCTATAATCCTGAATATTATACTTCTGAATCTCTTGCACGTGGTGATACGCCTCGGGTCTCCACAACCGCTTGCTGAACTTCCACGCAAAGTCTCTGAGCAGACAGAGGATGGCCAGCGTAGGCATCTCGATCCAGAAGATCGGACTGGTGAACAGCCTGGGGACAACGCCAAAGTACTCGACACTGATGTTCAGCTTGGGCGCCACCTCACCGTAGACGGCCACAAAAACGATCCAAACAGCCATGGAACCGGGGATGGCGATGACGTGGTATTTGGTCCAGTTGTTGGTTACCAGCGCAGCTTTGCCCAGGACGGTAAGCAGGACGGCGCCGTACATGGCCGTACCCCAGACCCACTTTCCGCCGGTGAGAGCGTCGCCTTGGGGCCCATCGTTGAGCCAGAAGAGGCAGCCGCCGACGTAGAGGATGATGGAGTGGTAGACGGCGTTGATGATCCACTCGCCGAAGACACGGACCTTGAAGAAGCTGTTGCGCTGGCCGAGATTGTAGAGCTGCGGGTAGCGGTCGAGCAGGCGGGCAGAGACGAACTGATCGAGGATACCGAGAGCGAGGGGCGGAAGGACGGTGTAGAAGACGTTGTAGAAAGAGAGAGTCCAGGATTCGTAAATGACTTCACCAGAAAAGACGTTTTGGAAGGTGTACTGTTTCAGGTTAGTTTTTGAGCCAGGGATGGTTACTTGTTCAGAACACTTACCCAGAACTGTGTCAGATAAAGACAAATATTCTTGTAGAAAGAGAACAAGATGGTCTTGGAAACACGATGGTAACTCCATGCGCCGTGCACAAGAAGCAACTTGCGGAGATAACGGAACTGGGCGATAGACACATCGGCGCTGCGCGCAGCCTGGAGACCTTCCATACCGCTGATACCGACACCAATATGGGCAGCTTGAATCATGGAGACATCGTTGGCTCCGTCGCCGATAGCGAGGAGAATCGACTCCTTCTGATACTTCTTGACCAACTTGACAACCAAGGCCTTTTGCAGAGGAGACACACGGCAGCAGATGACGGCCTTGCACATGATGGCAAGATCGAGGAAGAGCTTCTCCATGTCCTTCTCCAGAGCGAATGTCAACGATTTGCCGTCAATAACAAGAGCCAGCGTCTCCATCTCAATGGTAGCGTCACCTTGGTTGCGGATGGCATCGAGCTTCTTCTGGAGATTCTCCCGTGTAGCTTCCGCGTTCTCTTCGTTGACAATGAGCAGCATCATGTCCTCACTCAGCAACTTGCAACTCATGCCAATGTTGATGGCGGTCTCCTGTCTGTCGCCAGTCAAGACCCAAACCTTGATGCCGGCTTCCTGAAGGGTGTGAATGGTCTCGGGTACACCATCCTGCAAGCGATCCTCGATAGCAGTGGCACCAAGGAGGTAAAAGTCGTGCTCGATAATCTCGGCAGCCTTGTCCAGCTCATCGGCACGGTTACCACCAACGGTCATCTGCGCCTTCTCGTAAACCCTCAACCACTCCTGGAATTCGTGCTCTGGGATTTCCCTCATGGCCAAGCAGAGCGTGCGTAGTCCCTCAGAAGCATATTCCTCGAGATGTCGCAGGGTCGCATCGACGTGGGGGTTTTGGTCATTGAGTCTTTCCAGGATAACGGTGTCTGCGCCCTTGCAGTAGCAGCGAACCTTGCCGTCAGGGCAGCGATAGATTGTGGACATTCTCTTTCTGGTTGAGTTGAATTCGCAGACAGCCAAGAGCTCGTACTCGAGTTGTTGACCATTGGCTTCGATGATAACAGCACGCGGCTTGCGAGCGACGAACCTGTAGCCCAGCTGTACCGCACCATCGACGAGCGCTCCTTCGTCTGGCGACGCGGCTTGGTACTTGATGCTTCCGTCCTCAGCTTGTTCCGGAATAACAGTGTGGCAGATGGCGAGAAGGGTAAGGAATTGGTCAATCGCCTGCGCAGATTGGTGGCTCTCAAGATTCTTCGCCAGTTGCTTGAAGTCGTGGATTCCATTCTCGATTCCGTCCTCAATACTCGGGATTCTATCCTCGGGTACCTTGTCGGCGTACATGATTCCAGCGATAGAGCATTGCCTGTATTCCATCATGTTGCAAGTCAATGTTCCAGTCTTGTCGGAGAAGACGAACTCAACCATGCCGAGTTCCTCAACCAAACTGGACGTTCGGCAATTGGCGGGTGTGTCATTAACGTCATAGTACATATCAAGGTCGTCGTTGATGAGGATGCCGTGCCAATACTTGACCATTTCAATGGTGACGAAGAGCGAAATGGGAACAAGAGCGGAGAACAAAACCCAGTATGTGACCATGTCCTTAAGGAAGATGCGAGCGATAGCCGAGGCATTGTCCATGGGATCCAAGAAGAGGTAAGCGAGACCTTCCTCGCCCTCTACCTTTCGCTGGATGAGATCACCAACAGTAGAGACTACACTGAAGACCAAAAGGATAGCGACGAGGAAGAGTACAAGCGTGTTCAGCTGCCTCTCGACTTTTGTGCGCTTAATCGGCGCGGCCGTGGCGTTGCGCATCAGCTTGGTCTCGTGGCCGGTGAACACAACGACACCGTGAACCCAGGGGGTGTTGCGCAGAGTAGCACCACGGAGAAGCAACTGTTCGGGGTTGAGGGAAGCTCCTTCTCTCCACCTCCAGTCTGCATGGTCAAGGTGGCTTCATAGGTATAAAGACTGCTGTTGGGCTGCTCGGAGCGAATCCTGCCTCCCAGACGGCTCAACTCGCTAGAGCTAACCATGGTTGACGTTTCGGGCAGAGCTTGCTTGATTTTGAGGTTGGTCTCTCCATCGAGATTGGCGGTTTCGATATAGCAAAGACCCTCGGGTTCGGAACTCGCCAAGAGAACAAGATCGGCAGGGAAAGACTCTTCAGATTCGACTCGAATGATATCTCCAACTTGGACGTTGGATCCTTCGTTTCCTCGAATGTCGAGCCCCTCAAGATACGGGCCTTTGACAGATTGAGCGCCTTATCTGCCTGTTTTCTCCGATAGTCTTCGACCAACTCTTTACCTGCCGAAACCAAAAGCACGACGGCTAGGGGACCAATTGTAGTATATCTGTTTGTAGGAGACAGGCCGGGAATCTGCTGTAGACCGGCGGTAAACAAGAAGAAGATGTTGGCGAACTTGGAGAACTGCTCGAAGAGGAACTTGGGCAAGAAAGTCGCAACATTGTACTTGGCCGTCGAGACGTGGTTGTCGACATACTTGTTCAAGCTGTTGGCTGGAGGATTGTTGAGATGAATGATACGGGGGCCGAGGGTTGCTGGATCAACCTTTCCACCTCCAAACCCGAACTTGAAATCGAACTTCTTGGCCGGCTTCTGGGGAGGAGGCTCGTGAGAATGGTCTGGCCGTGCGGTCGATCTTGGGTCGGTCAAGGGAAGGTCCATCTCCGAGTAACCTTCAGGGCCCATTCCAAGCATGTTCTTGGCCCGGCCGATCAACCCGCCGCCCATGCTCAGGACACTATTCCGTTTGCGCGCGCTGTCGCGGGCGGCCGCCGAGTCCGGAGGGAGAGCACCGCCATGTTGGTAGTAGGACGTGGTGCCCTCGTCAGGGTAGTCGTCAAAGTCCTCGGCATAGCGTTGGTAGTTTCCGAGATCCGACGTCTGGCTGAATTGCCGGTCCAGCGGCCTGTTATCGGGGTATGGACTTGCTGGGCCTCCGCCGACTGTCGCGCCCGGCGCGGGCTGTATAGGTCTTGTAGGTGTTTGTTGTGATGTTTGCCCAGAGCCGATAAAGTCATCGTAGGATACGGACGGGCGAGGTGGCGCGGCGCCTTGCGCATCATCGCTGTGTAGTCGCAAGAGATCGTCGTCGTTTAGGGTCGACCTTTGTCCCCCGCTATAGTATGGTTGTTCGTTACCGAAGTCGAGCAGCAGATCATCGTGTTGATTGCTCGACGGGGCCCCAGGAGGGGGGCGGCCAGCCGCCATGCCGGAGACCGGAAGCCGGAGGGTGGACGCTGTCGGTCAGGTAGTCCGTCGGACCTGGGATGGCGGTATCGCAGGGACGAGCGAGAGATCCGGTGGGAAAGGCGGAGAGTCGTGCCTTATAGCGGGAATAGGAGCATCTGAGGGTTGAGTGTGGGCGACAGGGTAGAGGTAAGGATGCGGGATGGGGGGGCGGGCACTTGTTGATTTCGGGTCGGAATCTCGCGTGTATATGCAGTTTTGATGGATGCGGTCGAGCGCTGGGTAGCGTGTGTGTCTGGTGTTGACCGCAGGACCGTTCTTGGGTTTTGCGACAGCGGAATGCGTGGAACTTGGGGAAGCTGAACTGGAAGGTTGGGAATACGGAGGGATGGATACAGGTAGTGGATGTCGGGTGAGAGTGCAGACAGGAAGATGCCGCCGTGTCAGGACGCAGCAGCACAGCCTCCTTTCACTCTTCAGCGCAGGATTCGTGTGTGGAATTAACGATTGGTACCCTCTGTTCCTTTCTTTTTGACGAATCGATCTGGAATTCAGGGGATGTCCAGGGATGGAGGGATTGCCTGGTGGGCTTGTATAGCTGCACGTAATGTACCAGCTACAATGACCGGGACACCCACCACTGACACCACAATCGCAACCCAGGACCAAGCAGCCAAGGCACGTCACAGCGCTGTTTAGCGGGCCACCGTTATTAGGCCTTTGTGGATTGCCAGTTGCTAGGTACCTGTGAATAAAGACGTTTCGGATACAATTTATCCAATCATGATGCTCCGCGGTTGGCTTTGAGGCTGGAAATCAAGACGCTAAGCTCATGACTAAGCGATAAGTGGCTGATAGTAGGGGCCCTTTTACCCCACATCTCGGGGCCTTGTTCCTTCTCTGCGTTCTTCTCTGTGATGCGCCATGGGCTTGGCGGTCAGTAACAAACACTCCAGCGGACATCATCTCAACTTGCCGCCGCTGTTATTCCTCCCATTTCCTTTGACCTCATCCATCACCAATCACACATCTCATCCACTCTTCCACAAAGGCTTTGCTCACCACTTCTATCAACGCAGACACAGAGAGATTTGAAAGGTAAACCCAATCATTATGGTTTGCGCAAAGTGCCAAAAGAAGGAAAAGACAACCCTCGTCACGCCAGGGGTCAAGAAGAAGAGTGAGATGTACTATGGCTCCCCAGCAGCAGCCGGATCATCATCATCGAGCTCCGCCTCGGGACCCAAGAAGTCAGCAACTCTGGGCAACACGGGAGTGGTAAAAGTAAGGCTTTGGCATCAGAAAGACACCATCTCATTCACCCGTGCTAATTTCTTTTTACAGAGCAAACTTCTGTCCAAGGCGGCACAAAACCCCTATGCTCAGTATTCCAGCACGTGTACGCGCTGCAAGGCAAAGGTATCAGAAGGTCACAAGTTTTGCACCAAATGCGCGTACCGCGCCAACTGTAAGTCTTGATATCTCCGCTGCATATTTCCTAACAAGGTGCATCACGACTGACTTCTCTTGTAGCATGCGCTATCTGTGGCAAGCCCAACAAGACTACTACTGCTGGAGCCCCCCTCGTGAACGGCCAAAAGTTTACCTTGAAGTGAGCATGTCACAGATCAATCGTTGCAGTACAGGCATCAAAGATTGCGAAATTTACCATGCGATACGATGACTACGAGTACAACGACATGAACGACAGGCCCAACGTTACGGGTATCCTTATCCCCAGCTTCCAGGTTTCGCCTGTACTGCTAACATTATATTGAGAGATTCTATACAGAGTTGCACAGTCGAGAGCCACAGTCCTCGGATCACCAAAGGATCCTTCTGCACAATCCGACCGGGGCACGAAAGTGCACCTCCGGCCTGGAGTGTTGTACGATCGTTGAGGCTGAGCAATGGCCCAGGAGATTCCACGGGTCACAGCGGTGGTTACTGGCGCGTGAGCCGCGTGCCCTTTGTGCTCGATGGAAACAGCCTGGTTCCTCTAAGTTATGCGGGTTCAAGTGTACAGATGGTGCCTTCAGTAAGGCACAGTATAGCCCTCAAATCACCTAAGGGGCGGAAGCGATGGATTTGTGGACGAGTGTTGATAGCATGTAGGCAAAGGTACTTCCTACTCAACCCGCGGCATAGAGTGTGCTGAGAGTCAATGATCAAGGGCATACGGCCAACATGATATATAGAGGCATAGCTCCTTGAGGAGCTTCTTTGTCTTGAAGTAGCGATGTGTTTCCCCAGCCAGAAATTGCAAGTTTACGACTGTTCCAAGCCTACAACGCTGTCAATCTAACCGACTCCACCAATCCATCGATCGCATGTTTACTCATCAGCCGAACAGCCAACAATGTTTTCCCCATCCACAACAAAGAATCCTTCGCTTATTCATGCCTCGGTCGAATTCACGAGCGAGGTATGTGTAGATATGAAGCGAAGGGGCAAGGGCCTTCGTGTTTTAATAATCACCGTTGCCGAATATCTTGGGGGCGTCTTGGCAGATATGCATGACGCACTTGAGGTGTTGTTGCTGCCCCCCTTTTTTCCCCACTCGTGATTTATACGTGGGAATGGTAAATGTATACTAAGAGACCAACATACAAAGACAACAGAACACCTCGAAAATCGTTTATTTGCGACTCAGATAATATCTGGGGCTTTTTAACTCATACGTAGTACATCACCTCGAAGGTTCGTTCACACCCAACTGTCATTTTCCTGCTGCCCTTGAACAGAACGAAGCACATGTGTCCATCGTGATATCATACCTACCTTGGATATCAGCAACATATCCATCTAACTCCCAGTCACAGAACTTAAAAAACTAGAGCTCAACTTCTTACCAACAACCTGACCTCTCCCAGTTCATCACCCCTTCTACCCAAAATGTCGTCCACCCCAGACTTCCCCCCCAAACTCGTCCCCAACGACCCCCGCGTGCTCTCCAAAACCACCACCATCAACGGCAAGAAATACCACTACCTCATCTCCGCCCCACCTCCTCTCACCGGCGGCGGCGACGCCCCTCCGGCCCGCGCCAACCTCGAATCGCCTTCCTCCACCATCGACGCCGCCTCGCAACCGCGCGGCACCGTCCTCCTCGTCCACGGCTGGCCCGACCTCTCCTTCGGCTGGCGCTACCAAGTCCCCTTCCTTCTATCCTTGGGGCTGCGCGTCATCGTCCCGGACCTGCCCGGCTTCGGCCGCTCCGACTCCCCCCAGGAACTGACCGCCTACTCGTACAAGAACGTCACGCGCGACCTGCTCGAGCTAGTGTTGAGCGAAGTCCCCGGCGGGAAGAAGCAGATCGAAAAAGAGGGAGGGATCATTGTCGGCGGGCACGACTGGGGCGGTGCCGTGGCTTGGCGGTTTGCGCTGTGGTACCCCGAGCTGACGCGGGCCGTGCTCTCCGTCTGCACGCCCTTCTGGGCGCCGCAGGCGGGCGGGTTCGTCCCGCTGAAGCAGATGGTCGATACCGTGCTGCCGAATTTCCGGTACCAGCTGCAGTTGTCCGGACCGGAGTTTGAGGCGCAGGTGAAGGGGAAGGAGAAGATCAGGCAGTTCTTGAACGGCGTGTATGGGGGCAAGGGGCCGAATGGGGAGCCGGTTTTCACGACAGAGAAGGGCTGTTTGTTTGAGAACCTGCCCAAGATGGGCAAGACCCCGTTGTTGGATGATCGGGAGATGGAGTACTATGTGAAGGAGGTGGCGGGTAATGATAAGGGAAGCATGAGGGGCGGGGTGAACTGGTATAGGACCACCCAGGTGAACTATGAGGAGGAGAGGGAGCTGTTGAAGCAGTTGGAGAAGAGAGGGAAGAGCGCGAAGACAGGGGAGAAGATCGTGGAGCCGCCGGCGCTGTTCATTCAGGCCACCAGAGATACGGCGCTGCCGCCGGCGATGTCGGAGGGCATGGAGAGGTACTTTGAGAAGAAGTTGATGAAGAGGGAGGTGGACGCTACCCATTGGGCGTTGTGGGAGCAGCCGGTTAAGGTGAATCAGGCTATTGCGGAGTTTTTAGGAGGTGTGTTGACGGAGGTGGAAGCGAAGCTTTGAGTGGGTGGGGATGCCATGATCTCACTTAGTATAACCAAATGACTGGATGAAGGGGCTTCAGAGCACGCTATCAAAAGAAATATTCTGCTCAGTAGAGCATCTAACAAAACGAAAACGCAAGTATATATCACGATATGTGCGTACTTGCCCATTGATTCCCACCTCTCTTCTTGGATATGGAATATCCTTGCACTTTTACTCAAACGGTTCCAACATAATAAGCAATGCCATCAGCCAGAGCCAATTGGCTTTCGACAACCAAAACGTTGTTTGGGACAACAACCCATGACAATAACTGACAGATCGAAAACCACACCGGGATATTTGGCGATAGAAGGAATAGGTAAAGTTACCTCTAGTATATGACCATATCCTCCCCGTCCTGTATCATCTCGTCTCCATCATGGTCCTGGTCATGAGCGGTAGTATCAATGCTAGCGGCAGTAACGCCCTTGTCATCGCCCGTGCTTGTGCTCGGGGGGGCTGCTGCTTCTGTTGCTGCTGGTGGCGGCATACCGTCCGATGACAATGACGGAACAACATCATGGTTAGCATCTTCTGAAGACTTGTTAGGCTGCTCACCAACTTGATCTTGTTCTTTCATGACCTCGTCATCATGGGTTGATGGTGGTGGGATCTCGGCCTTTGGTTGGACCTTGGCCTCGATCTTTGGCGGCCGCCCGTGTTTAATTTCGAACTGGCGCACCTCCTTGGCGACGGTTTCCTCGGCTTCGCGGATTTGCTCATCGATGATGCGCTCTTGTTCTTTGGTAAGCTCCCATGGCTTGTAGTACTGGTCGGATTGTTAGTCTTGGAATCAAGCCGTCTTCTCTATCAAGGGTGATATGCTTACAACTACAGGCTCGCTGACGGTTCGTAAGCTGTGAGCCAAAATAAGCATCTTTTCATGCCGCCGGTGCATCTACAACAATCATCTGTTAGCAACCATGACAAAACTTCTTTCCCAACGGATACCCACCATTCGCTCTTCAAAGTCCACCTGCTTAGCGTCCCGGAAGCGTCTGCGCTCAGCAAGCAGGTCGGTTCTGCGCCTATCATCCTCGACTCTCTGCTGCTGCACTCGTTCATGCTGGCGGCGTTCGATTTCCTTTCTCCTGTTTTGTTGTGCTTTGTTGGGCGTGGTCTGACTTAGCGTGTTAAGAAGGCCACCGAACAAGCGCCGACCCCGTTTCTTCTCCTCCATGCTGACATTCTTCCGCGATTGTTCGGGGCTAACTGCTGCCTTTCGAGACGATGATTCCCTTTGCGCGTCTGACTCCCTCGTAGCAGTGACTGGGCTGTGAGCCGTGGTCTCGTCGGCGCGTACCATAGTCTCCTTCTCCTCCGGGTGATCATCCTCCTTGGTATGTGACGAGACGCGATCCTCCCCTGTAGTGCCGACTGGCTCCTCCGTCGAGTCCTTTACGGTTTCCTCCGTCTTCCCAGTTTCCGGCTTCGGTTCCCCTTCAACGGTTTCACTGATTTTGTCCCGGCCATTTTCGTCCTCTAGTTTGGTGCGCTTAGCAGCTACACCATCGTCTGGGGACGGCGAGGAGGAGGCCTTTCTTTTCTGGGCAGCCAAGTCCTGGGGCTCTGTTTCCATCATCTGCTCCGAAGACATGAGTGGTGCCGAGTTGAAAGGTCCCGTCGCGTTTGTTGTAAAGCAAAGACCGACAGCAGCTTGGCGTTGAAGCTGAAGCAAGAGTGTTGGAGTGGTAAGATGGGGAAAAGCGTAACGAGGAGCACGCTATGTGTAGGTCCGACGTGACTGGCGAAAGAATGGATCCTTGTGACAAAAAGCCTTTGTTGTTGGTTGGAGTTATTAGGTCGAAGATATATGTTGGTTGGCCGGTCCCTGTTTGATCTCCAACACGGTTTCGTTGTCGGGAGCTGTTGGTGTATTGAAGAGTCAAATTGTTAGTGACCAGTGTCCAGAACTTCTTCAGTGAGAAGCTTCCCCGAAAGTGGATTGTCTAACCCGCTGTCAATGTTCGAGGCCGCGCGAACCCGAATCCACTGTTCGGAGCCGGGAAGCAGCTGGGGAAGCCAACCCCACTTTCCTGCACAGGTCGCATGTCTTGGCATTTGAAGGATCCGCCCCTTCCACGAGGCTGACAAACGAAAACGCGGAAAACGCTAGAAGAGACGCCACATCGCGACCCACTTACCGCCGAGGCTGACGAAATCCAATTCCACACGATACAACTTATCATTATCGCCCAGTGTCCGTCGCATCTTTCGCCTTACATCACCGTCCATAACGACCTCGACTTACGACGACAAGCGCCATTCGAGACCGGACTTATTGTCCACCGCATCTTTCGAGCGACCACTTTTGTAATACGCGACAGCACCACGCGTGCCTTTCTTCTCCTCGACAACTATTCAATCTCTCAACCAACCGTCGCGAAAACACCCAAACTCTCTTTAGCCCACCATGTCTCGCCATCATCCGTACGTTGCACCTCTTCCCTCCTTACCCGACGACTAGCCCTACCTAGGCCTGTACTACACTTCAACATCCGTTTCCCCCTTCCCTTCTCCAAGATTCTCATACTAACCCTCCACAAAGCGATCTAGTAATGTGCCGCAAACAATCCGGCATCGCCATCGGCCGTCTTTGCGACAAGTGCGACGGCAAGTGCCCCGTATGCGACTCGTACGTGCGTCCCACGACACTGGTGCGCATCTGCGACGAGTGCTCGTTCGGCAATTACCAGAACAAGTGCGTGGTGTGCGGTGGCGAGGGCATCTCGGACGCGTTCTACTGCTTCGAGTGCACCAGACTCGAAAAGGACAGGGATGGGTGTCCCAAGATTATAAATCTGGGTAGTTCCAGGACGGATGTAAGTTTCTACCTTACCCCTTCTCTGTTTGGTGGTTTTCCTTCCTTCTCATCTTCCCTTTCGGACCTGCCGTGGAATGAGAAAATGGATGGGGCTGGTTTGCCGTGGTGTGCTGTGCTGGTAGAGATCAAGGTCAGAGGCTAACAGAGTGTTTTTCGAACAACAGCTATTTTACCAAAAGAAAACAAATCGAACATTTTAACAATAGAGACGCCCGGGTACGGGCTTCTGTGGAGAGATTGGTTTGGTTGGGTATTTCTCAGATGTTTAAGGGTGCTCTGAGACGGGAATAAGAGCACCGGAAAGGGGAGAGTGTTGAGAAGGGGAGTTGTCGCAAGCTCAAGCAGCATTTGATTCGGCATCATGGGCGTTAAGGAGTTTTGTTTACATACACAACATTGCAATTGCATAAGAGGGCAAGCCTACAATGGAGAAAGACGAAATTGAGAAGCAAGGACAAAACATTGATGGGTCTTCTTCAGAGACATTGATTACGTATCAGCTTGCATTGGTATGTGTCATCTCTTTTGATTATGAACAGAAAACGTTCGAAATAAGCTATTTTCCATGATGCATTATCCATTAACGATAGACTTGAAACAATACTCTTTCACATGCCAAAAACCTGCTGCCCCAACAGCCGCGCAATGCTAATTATCATCAGAGCAGGTAAATATTCCGCCCCGTCTTGACACCAAACAAAACCGATATCCAAACAGCAGCAGCCGCCGAATCAGATCAGATGTAACTGACCTTCATACCCATTCCAGCTGTAGCCCTCACTTTCCCCCACCCCTGCTGCACCACCTTTGTGATTCTCTCTCTCACCCTCTTGTTACTGAACATCAGCAAGAACCCAACGATAAACGCCAACGTCCGGTACAGCAGGAATGGGTTCCCATGGAACGCCGTCATGACCTGATCCAGCACCGACCGGATATTGTTCAATATCAAGGACGCTTTCGTGCCCATTCCTGGGCCAGCCACTGCGCTCGAAGAACCCGTCGTCTTCGTCGCAGTCGGTGATGACGCTCCCTTTCTGGACGGCCTGGCCGGTTTCGCCGATGACGACGAAGCCCCTCCATTCTTCAACGAAGAAGCCTTCTTCTTCAGACTCGGTTTCTTCGTTGTCCCTGTCCCCTTGGCCGCAGAACCGCCATCGACACCAAAATCACCTTCCGTCGTCGGTCCGCTCCCCACACTAACCGCCGTATTTGCCCCCGCCGCTTCTCTCTTGAGCCTTTCCTCCTCCAGCCTCTTCTTTTCCTTCTCTTCGTTCTCCGCCCTCAGCTTGCGCGCGTTCTCGATATCCTTGCGAATCGCATCCTCCTTCTCGCGCGCTTTGCGCTCCGCCTCTTCCTGCTCCTCTTTCAGCGAGTCCAAAGCCTGGATGAAGGCTTCTTTCCGCTCGTCGTCCAGCACCGCACTCATGTTGATGAACTCGCGCGCGCACGCCCACTCGTCATTGCGCGGGAGCACGTGCAAAGTGTACAGCTCGAGGATCTTGACGCGCGCGTTGAGGTCGCGGGGGGTGTCGGCGCCGTGACCAGGGACTCCGGATTTGGAGGATGAGCGTAGACGACGGGCTGGAGAGGCGGAGGAAGCGCCAGGACCAGAAAGACGGTCGGTCAAGTCGAGGTTGGGGGTGCGGGCGGCGGCTAGGTAGTTTTCTAGACGCTTTTGGTTGAGGGTTTGGGTTTTGGCGTGGCCGAGGAGGAGGGTGGCTCTGTAAGATGGGGTGTGTTAGTACCTTGTTGGCTGGCTGGCTGGTGATCATGGTGTTGTGTTGCCAGGGCTGACGACTTACAGGTTAATAACCACATCTGCATCCACGTCTCCCTCCGACCCATGGTATCCGTTACGCACGACTTCCTCCCAAACCTCGCCCTCGCGCACCTTGTGGCAGAGGGCCCTCCACTCGTGCGTGCCAAAGGCGTCCTTGCCCTCGTCCGAGTTCAACTCCAGGATCGCATTGAGGATGGTCAGGTACAGACTCCACACCTTTATCCTGGTGGATCGCGACGCCTTGGCGACAGGTGCCGGGTCGAGTGCAGCGGCGCCAGAAGCGACATCACCGGGAGTGGCGGATTCGGAAGGGGACGGTGTGATTAAAGGTAGAACGGTCGACAGAGCTTCGGGCAGTCGACGGGTGAGGAATAGTGTTGAGGCCTGTCTGTAGGCCTTTGAGATGTTGGACGAGGACGAATGGCGCGCCGAGGAGACGGACGGCGAGAGCGACGAGAGCGAGGACGACATGATTCCGGATCCGTTCATGCTCGGACTGAGATATGACGATGTGTCGAGATTATTGGAAGCCATCGTGATTGGAATTGTTGGGGTATCCGACAGACGGTAGTCTTCCACTTCCTCAGTCCCTACCTACTAGGTAGTTGTTGATGGAGTGTGAATTATTGCAATTGCGCGATAGACAGTGGAAAAACCGGGGGTAGAGGACGCCCTGGAGAGGGGGTTGGAGCGAACTGGGATCGATTGGGATTGGCGGTGGCTAGCGGTGGCAGGTGAACTCGGATGTTTTTCTCTTGGCCTGAATAGGAATCTGGTGCGCCCCCGTCTGGCGCGCGAAGAGAGCTGAAAAACGAAAGAAGGAGATATGTGTGAACCCGCTCACTAGTGGGTGGTTGAAAGGGTGTCGGATACAATCAAATGCGCGATCCAATGCGATCAGAGCAGGCAGTCGTTCAATTGAATTGCTGAATGATGTGAAAGGCGCAGTGCAGAGTTGATATCGCGGAAGGCAGGTGGACATGCAAGTGTCATTTGATGTTAATTCTCAGAATAAAGGATCATGAATGACATGGACAGAATTGAACGGCAACAGCGCTCGCCTTCAGTTGGCTTTTTGGGTCTTGTCAGCTGTGAGCCTCGGCAATCCGGGGTTGGCCTGGCAGACAGCAAGGGAGCAACAAGGATGGCATCTGTAATGGGTAATATGGGGAAGGGGTCATTAAAGAGAGACATCCAATTAGGAGGAAGAGAACATGTGAAGACAAGTACCTAGCTAACTCCATCACACCCTCCAACTCAACTGCACGTGAACCATCCGTGACTAAAAAGTTGGGGAAACCGGGATTTCCAGCATGAATTAAGGTTCAACGGTTGACACATATGTGCCATCGAGGACGATCATGAATGGCTTCACTTTTGCAGAATGGATCAAATGATGCGGAGAGTTGAAACCCTTGGTTGGGTTATGAACAGTTCGCAAACTCGTCTCTCGGTGACGAACATGCCGAGGCACTTGCACTACCTACTGTAGTCACTGTAGATCGCCATATATACAGTAATGCAGCTCTTAATGTCTATCCAACAGATTTGAAGTATGTACTTATCAAGGGAGAAAAAACACCAAGACGCCGACCGACCCAACCCGTCATTCATCATCCCGAACCAAGAGCCACGAGAGGTGCACATGTCTCAACGCCCGATCCCGCGCCGGACATGACCCGACCTCATGCCCGTGCTCGTGCCCGCATCACCGGACCGCAGGAGTGGACCTTACCACTCCGGGCTCCATGCAATGCAAGAACCGGCCGACTTGTGGCTCGTGCCTGTCATCCCATCTCTTATACAGCCTTACACCTTGATGGCCCACACCATTTCATCTCATAAGATCATATCCATCCATCCATCCTGCCATCTTCACTCCCTCCTCACTGTCTTCTTCTTCCTCAACTGCTCCCTCGCGTCCGCCCTGCTGTCCTCCCAGTTCTCATACTTGCTCTCCGCAATGCTCTCGGGCCTGCCATCATCTCCCCTGAGGTAGGCCGCCTGCTGTTCCGCGACACGATCCCTCCTGCTCTTTTCGCCTCCATCTCTGCTATCCCTGCTGGGCTCGCGTTTGCTTTCCCTGTCGGCCTTTCTGCTGCTCTTGGATTCACTGCTGCCGTCAAAAGACCTGATGCCTCTCTGCCTTGCCGCTGTAGATGCTGCTGCCGCTGGAGGAGGTGGAGTCGCCCTTCATGCTCTTGACTTTGTTGAGGACCGAGAGGCCTTGGCGGATGGTGCGGGTGCTTTGGAAGAGAAGGACTGTGGGAATTTTGTCAGTCTTTTTACCGGGACAGAAGAAGCAAAGGGGAAGAGGGACTGGCTGGACATACTAGCAGGGACAATAACCCAAGGCGCGTTCATGCTGGCATAGTAAACCCAGTAGTACAGCGTCTCCGGTCTGCTGTACGAGATGCCGCGGAACTTCTCCTGGAAGAAGCAGGTGCCGAAGTAGAGGGCGACGCCGTAAAGGTGGCCAACGCTGACGATGGTCTGGGTGATGTGGCGCAGGCTGCTGTTGCCCTTGATGATGGCGAAGGCGGCCAGGAAGGAGAGAGGACCCCAGGTGAGAACGGTCAAGGCCTCAATGCAAAGCATGAAGGGTCGGAGGTCATGTACCGCGAGTCGGACAGCGCGTACTCCTTCCACAGCTGGGCGAAGATGTCTTGCTTACCGGCGAGGGTGGCGTGGTTGAGGACGTAGTATCCTGATGATGCTGTTAGTTCGTGTTGTTTCAAAGATGGAAATGCTGAGAAATTGAGATCTTACCTTCAAAGAAACAATGCAAGAAACCACCTGTTCGCATATTGTCCTCATTAGCACATCTCATCCAGTCTTGACTCGTGTCAACTCCTCCGCCAACTTTGACGACCCATCACTCCCTTCCCCTCTCAAACCTCAACACATCCATTACTTCCCCCCTAATTCCTTTCCTCACAGGCCATAATCTCCTCCTCCATCACCTGCTCAACCCAAAGAGAAAACCAGAGATTGCAAACTCACAAAGGGTAAACCAGCTCAACACCCCCGCATCCTTCCACGTCAACCGCTTATTAACCTTCTTCCCCACGGCCACCACAGCCACCATCAAGAGCGACACGGCGCCGCCAAATGCGCCGAGCACCATGGGCAGCTGCAAAGTGTTGGGCGCATAGTTGGGGACGACAACAGTCTGCGGGTAGTAAGGGTGTTTGTGCCGGCGTGGGGAGTTGGCGTCCCCGGAGGAGACGAGGAATTTTAGGAAGGAGGACATGGTTGCTCCCTTTATGAGCGTATTTGAGTTGAAAAGAAGAACAAAACGGGCTATCAACCGTGTACGGACTTTGATGATAGTGGTGGTCTTGTTTTGTTTATGTGGAGATGTGAATTTGTGTAAGATGACTGGTGTTTTTCAGTTGCAAGCACCACAACTGCACAACTGCACAACTGCACAAGTGGCCCCGTGGACCCTAAAGACTGCACTCACTCGAAAGTTTGTTGGGACTTTTGGACGAAAGAAAGAATCCACACCGCCCCTGGATGGAAAGCTGAATCGGACGATTTGATAGGACAAACTGACCAACGGCATGAACGGAAGCGTGCTGCAGCCTGCAGGAGGATGCAGGAGGTTGGGTTCTTTCGGGAGGGGTAAGCCGAAGTAGCATGCTTAACCCTAACCCCTCCATGTACTTGTTCAAAGATATTAGACCCGGTTGGGGGCCGCAGTCAATTTATCGTTACCTACCCTGCACTTTTCTTGTACCAAAATCGATCTTGATCACATTACATCTATCTTGATCAAACTCATCGAAATCATGTAGACAGATTTACAATACCTGCGCCATCGCAAACACTCAGTCTCTCTCCTAAACCACCACACCCGGCACCCTCACAAACTCAAAACCCAGCCCGTCCACAGACCGCGGCCTACTCTTGATCCCCTTCACTCTTCCTCTCTCGTACAACGCCAACCAAACCGCATCAGCATTGATCGTCTCCAGCGCCTCCTTCAAACCCCTCCTCTCCGGCTCATGTAACACATCAACCATCACCTCCAGCATATCATCAAACATCTCGTCATCCACTCTCACATACCTCAAAATGGCCGTAATCAGCCCCAGCGCCGCATCCCACAGCTGATGAGCCTGCGAGAACCTGCCCAGCGCTCCACTGACAGAGCTCGTTGTCGGAACCAACTGCTTTGAGCTCAGATGCTGTCCACCAGTGGCATCACGAATAGGCAGCATAATCTCCCTGTCCTCGACCTTGACGCCACCAGTAATAAATGCTCTTCCGGCTCCCGTCCCCGTTCTTCTTGGCATATCCCTCCCCTTAACAGCCTCCCTCTTAACCCCCCTCAACCACTTCCCCATCCCATCGCCCCACTCCTGCTTGAACCTACTAGCCATGAAATCACCCGCAGCTTCACACATGCTTGCCAAAGCCTTGCACGCCGCAATCGCCACGAACGGTTCCGGGTCTTTGATACGCGCTACCACAACCGGCCAGACAGTGTGGACCGTGGCAAAAAGGCATTTTCGTCGGGCGCTAGGGCAGGTGAGACGGTGGCCACGAGGTCGAGCAGGGACTTGCGCAAGGTAGGTGTGGGGGAGGTGAGGTAGTGCTGGGAGAGAGTGAGGACGCGGGTGAGCAGAGCGTAGGTGGGTGTGTTGGAGGGCTGGTTCTTCTTTTCGTCGTCTTCGCGGGTGGCGAGGGCTGAGGAGGGGTCATCTGGTAGGCCATCTTCTTTGTCGTCTTCTTCCGGGTCGGGGTTCTCCAGCTGGTCGAGGAGGGATTTGGCTTCGGATGCTTCCTTGGTTTTGCCCGGGCCCCATGCCTCTTTGGGGTGTGGGCGAGGTGGTTCAGCCTCTTCTTCTTCTCGGGCCCGCTTGGTTCGTTCGCCACGTTTGTTGAGGCTGTCAATGATGTAACCGACGCCGAGTGGTTTCGGGCCTCGTTTGAGGTGGCTGACGGTTTGTGGGTTGGATCCTTCGAGAAGAAGCATGTCTGATTTGACGCCTTGGGTGACTACCTCGGAGAGAACGGAGAATAGACTCTCGACAAATACGGGGTAGCCGTGATAGTTGTCGAGGGCTGCGAAGATGGCGGCTACAACGTCATCCAGGAAGGGAATCAGCCTTGGTCCCGTCAGGCGTATCAACATCACCAGTACCTTGGTGGAGGCTGGAGAGATGTCAAACGTGTTGAGGCGGAGAGAGATGGAGTTGACCATGTAATCCGCATTGTCGACTACCAGCTCCGAGACATTCTTGTATCCGCATGAGGCCGCTATCACGTTCAATGTGGTGATAGCATGACTGCGCAGTTGCGGTGTTGGCGACCCGAGGAATGTGGTGACAGGGTAGAGCACATCGATCAGCTCTGGCCGGAACTCTTCCTTCATACGAGATGCCGCAAAAGCAGTCACTTCGAGCGCAATCGCCTCAATACGCCAGTCGTTATCTTGTGAGTCCGAATGGGAAGCCAAGACGGAAGCAGAGAAATCGTAGAGCTCCTGGAAGACCTGTTCTTGGTATTGGTTCTCATCGAGAGAAGACATGTCCAATAGCTCCTCCATATCCGACGTACTATTGTACGTTGTCTTGAGAAGCTCAAAGGCAAGCCAGTATGAGGCGATCTGTTCGACGCCTTCGGAGTCTCGTAGGTAACCTAACATTGCAGCGGCTAGCTTTGTTTGCTGAGCTGGCGAGCCAATGTTGGCTATCAGCTTGGTGATTTCCGCCCTTGTCGACCTGATGCCCTCCGAGTCCAGCAAAACTGGAGGATATGTCTGAATGTCAGGGCGTGACACAGCGAGGTCAGTGGCTGTAGATAGACTAGTCTCGTCAACATCTCCCACGACCTTTGAAGGCTTTGAGCTCTTGATCAAGGCAACTATGCTGTCTCGCAGAGAATCGCCCAAGGAATCGTTCAGCGTCGACGAGCCCATTCCCATGCCTGAAGCCATTTTGGAGCCCCTGAGTATGTTTCTAACTGCAAGCTGCTTGATGCGGTCATCGTTAGACTGTATCAACCTAGGGAGGCTGGTGACCCAGTTGTAAAGTGTAGCCTGAATACAATCGCCCAGCTCGGGGTGTATAGCCGCAAGATCCTGTAAGCTGGTTTCGAGCATTGACCGTTCGGTCTCTTCGTTCTCGACCATCATTGCGCTCTCTACCAGGATCGACTGGCAGTTGGCTAGTGATAAGTGGCATTCGTCCAACAGGCTGATACAAAACTTGCTGACAGCTGACTGAACGTCCTGAGCCTCATGAGTCCGGATTTTGAGCGCTGCGGCCAATGCGATTTTGATCTGAGCTGTCGTAGCCCTGAGCCAAGCGGATGTCAGTTCAGTCTGGGGCTTTTCTGCGCCATCGCTAGGCTGAGCATCCTTTTTCGCCTTGTCTTCCGTCTCGATCTGCTTCAATATCCCCCTAACCTTGAAGTCACCCAAAACGTTGACAAGAACGAGATTGAGAACTTGTAAGCATCGTACCAGAACCCTCCTCTGTGTCTTTTGCTGTAGTGGCGGTGCCAGAGCCTTGGTGAGCGATGACACCGTACCCGGAAGAAACCTGGCAAGGACATGCTGATTGCGTGTTGTAGTGTAAACAGCCTGCAAGCACTGCAGCGCTTCCAGCTGAACCGCAGGGGCAACACCGTTGGTGATCCCATCCAGCATGACCGTAATGGCAGGCCCCAATGCTGTCACTGTCTCATTCTCCTCTCCAGGTGCCTTACTTGCCAGTAAGCTTGAGGGTCCTATCGCGACAATGAGAGCCTCGAGAGCTTTGAATCCTTCCACGACGGTTTCCTCGGGCACATGACGATTCTTGGCCTGTCCTGGGGTACCGCTAATGGTGAACGAGAAGAAGAATAGCAGCTGTATGGCCAAGTCCTCTGAGATCTTGTGCTTCCAGCCGTATTGGATGAGGAACCTTAGAAACTTGATGATGGCTTCGATCACGCGAATCGGGAACTGATCATGGAAGCGGAGCAGGTGACTGACAGGGAAGAAGGCATATTCGGCCAACTTCTCATCCAGAATAGTGGAATCATTGCTCACTTGAGCTGCCCATAAGCCAGTAAGCGACTCAACGAGAGCGAAAATTTCCTTGGAAGCAGCCGCCTTGTCTGTTGACTGGAGGGCGAGGCGGCTCAAGGGGACACAGACTGTCCTGGAGCTGGGATAGGTCAGCATCGGTAGAAACCTCGAATGATGGATGCGTTTGCACGAACCTGTCTGAAGAAGTCATTTCGCGGACCAGGGGTTGCGACGGTGGTGACCATAATGATGGATTATGTGCATTATCAGATGCCGTCCATCAATTTGGTTCTTATTCTGGATGTCAAGTCGCGACCTGTGGGATGGAAATGACCCGAACTTTGAAGAATGGTGGTTGCATCTTTGGTTCGGCGACGAGACTGTTTGCGATGAAAGGTTCAACCAAACAGTGGGTTGTTGATGTTTACCCACTGACAAAGGGGGGAAGGTGCCCTAAAATCCAGTGGGTTTGACCTTTCGTACAGCGGGTATTCCAGGCTCTTCCACGTGACACAGCACTTTCCACAACGGCCCCAGGACAACGGCGCTCGACTACAGGCGGGCAACAACCGAATCCGGGCCATCGCAATGACAGTCGCGGTCGACGGGAGCTAGGTGCCGCTGCCACTAGAGATGACTGTATACCTACCTATAGTACTTGGCGGTGGCCAAACCCGCTATGGTATAGCATGGAGCTCCAGTTTTGGTCTGTCAGCTTTTCCCTTTGTATTGTAACCTCCTTTTGCATTTGAAAGAATCATCGGCTTCTTGATCGAAATTAAGTCTTTGAAATGTCACTTGGCAATTAAGACCCGACTACTTCTTTCATCCCACCTTATTAATCCATGGCCCTACCAAGGAACCCCGACTCTGCAACTCCACCTGTCACTTCTGCCGATACCGTGACCGTCGCCGGAGCCGGGACCGCTGGACGGGATGCATCGCCGAAACCGGTTCCGAGAGACCGCTCGTCACTACCCCCCGGGCCACCACCACCCTCAACAGGATCAACGCCCCCCAGGATACGGCGAAATACGGCCTGCATTCGGTGCCGAGATTCCAAGGTACGTACAGTATGAGGATTCTCTACTATGAACAACCCTTCCCCATGCGACATGGCAGCAGTAGCTTGAGCCTGGTGTGTGATCTGCCCAAGACCTCCCGCTCGGGCTGTTTTGATGCCATGCCTTTCTCTCCTCTTGCTCCCACCACGGGACCCTCGTTATGATTGGTCTCGCTGACGTTACACACACACACTCCGCAGGTGAGGTGTAATGCAAGTCTTACTCCGGGACAGCCGTGTCTCCGGTGCACCAAGCTAGACCTTGAGTGTATCGTGGACAAGAACTACAAGAGAGCGTCCAAAAAGAGGTTGGTCGCATAAGGCCCAGGGTTAGGGTACCCCTTAGTACCTGAAGTAAAACAACGACGGCTAACTCTTGATAGCAAGCTGGAAGAGTTGGCGGCGGAACTCCAGTCGCTCAAGAACACTGTTGCTCCAAGACCTTCACTCGGTGGCCTCACTACTGAACTGCCTCCTATACGTCCGGTTCAGTTCTCGAGCGCGAGTCCGCCAGTCCCTTCACTCCCACAGCTCACCCTACCTGGAACCCTATCTGGAACCTTGGCTGGAGGACTACCTACTCCTGGAACCCTACCCGGGCCCTTTCTCTCTGGCCTTGGTGTTCCAACACTACCGCCGCCCATCTTCACTCGGCCAAGGCCCTTCTCGATATCCAGCGAAGCCTCCACTCTTACTCCCAGAGCAAGCGATGCTGCCTCTGTTAGTTTTAGTCTGGCTGGGCTGAGGCGTCCAGCTCAACCTCGAGCCCTCGGCTCACGTGTATTCTCCGGAGACGACATAAACTACTATTTCGACAGATACTTTGAGCACTTTCACCCTTACTTCCCCGTCGTTCGCCAGCGGGATCCAGATGTCTGCTATGAGAGGGGCCATGTCCTCTTTTGGGCCATCATCATGACGGCATGCCGTCGGTTTGCCAAGGATGACTCGGTGTATCAGTTTTTGATGGACTCGCTGTTGCCGGAAATATGGAACACGATATCACGGCCGCCCTTGAAGCTGCCCATCATAAACGCCTTGCTGCTCGTGGCGACATGGCCATTCCCTGATATCAGGTTCTTGACTGATCCGTCAATGATCTTTACGGGCATAGCTATGAACTCGGCTCTCTTGATTGGGCTTCATACCGGCCGTGGCGCTCATACAGAGTTTACTGGACTTCTTGATAAAGTCGATACGACCGATGAGGAGGCAACGTACACATGGGCTGGGTGTGCTATCATATCTCACCGGTAAGTTAACATTTTAACATTTTGCTCCGGGTGTGAACACGTGTTAACCGTTCATATACAGAGCTGCTGCTTACATGGGATGCCCGTCTCCGAGTCTACTATTCAACCAGACCATAGACTCGCTCCTAGACGGGAGTAGCTCGATATCAATGCCTCGCTACTTCATTTTGCATCTAGAAACCGCCAGGTTTGCTAACAAACTCATCAGCACCATGTCTGCCTCTCTCGAGCAGTCCCAAGGTGTCTCGCATCGCTTAGTGGCGCAAATGGAAGAGGAGTACAGTAAAATTCAATGCTTGCTGTACCCTGATAACTCAGGTGAGCACCCCTTTCTTCATCTATACCATTTGTCCGGTTTCAAGGCATCATCCCTAACTCTACAAACAGACCTCGACCACTTCATCCTTCTCTCCACCCTCCTCGAGATCCAAACCTACTACTTCATGCCCCTCCCCGGCTACAGCGAAGAGATGCTCAAGCGGAACGTCATCAAGTGCTACACCACCGCCGAAGCGATCATCAACCTAGCCCGCTCCCTCCAAAGCCAGTCTGCCTTTTTGCACTACTCGCCCAACTTTGTCTTTCGCACTTTGCTGAGCGCCATCTGCGTGTTCATGACGCTGAACCTCGCCCAGCCCCCGTATACCAAAAACCACAGTAATGCACTTAATGCCTCGTACATGGGCGATATCAATAACAACACGAACAGCCCTAACGGCAGAAGCACTCACAACAACAGCATCGGCAACAGAAACAGTAGCACCACAAGCAACAGCAGCGGCAACAGAACAGGTGCCGCATCTCCCAGCAGTGATACGGCCGACCTCTTCGTCCGCGAAGCCCTCCGCATGATCCGATGCTGCTCCGTCCAGCGCGACGACCTCGTCATGCGCGCTTCCAACATGGTAGAGAAGTACTGGAACATGCGGCATGCTTTGCCCCGCTACGAAACATTGCTAGATCCCACCGATCCTAACACCAACAGTCCCCAACATCCGCACCGGCAGCAAGAGGATGGGATGCGAGGCGCGACGACGGTGTTTAGACATCGGCTGGGGTCTAGTCTGACATTCGGGTGTTTGAGGAGGTGGAAGCAGCATGTTGAGAAGGCGAGGGCGAGTGTGGGGGGGATGAATCCTCCGGGACATCAGGGAGGCCAGGGACAGCAAGGAGGGCGAGAACTGGGCGGTCAGTACCAGGGGCAGCAAGGTCAACAACAAGGGCAGCAGGGACAGCAGGGCCAGCAGGGTACGGGAGTTTACGCTGGTACATACGGGCAAGGACAATACCCAGGCGCCGGTGTGGGTGGGATAAGACCAGGTGATCAGGGTATGAGTGGACAGGAAGTGCAGAGTATGCATGGTGATGGAAGTGGTGAAAGCATTCGTAAGCAACTTTCTTTTTTTCTTCTTTTTCCTTCTCTTTGTTTTCCCATTTCCCTGCGACTCAAACTGTCGGGTCGCGCCTTCCTCAGAATGGCGGTCGGACGGTGTACAAGAAGGAGCGATGGAGAGCAACGGGAAAGAAGGGGAAGACTCATTGGCTGTCCCTGCCTCCCGTTCTTCTTTTCTTTTCTTCTTCTTTCTATCCCGTGTTTTCTGCCGACAATCTTAAGACAATGGTTACTTACACTAACCCTTTCTACTCGGCAGACGGAAGACTATCCAACAATCCCGACTCCTCTTCTCTCGGATTGGCAGACCCTTTCCAACGGCTCGAATGGAACGCGTTTATGGACGACTTTGATTGGAGCTTTACCAACAATTACTTGGGTGTTGGTCCCATGTAGATGGTAGTCTAGTATTGGTTGGGAGTGGGATTGCATGTAAGGGTACCATGTATTATATACATGAAAGAAAGAGGCCGTCTTGAGCAAGCTAGGGAATAACGAGCTTCCGTCATGAACGCGAATTTCTGTGGATGGTGTTTCTTCTCGTGGCGTATGTGCGCATGACGGATGGTACGCTATGTCCCTAAGGCACTTGCTTGCCGTGAATCTGACTATGAAGTGGAAGGAACCGGAAAAGGAACACGGGAAAGCACCGAGTTCACTTTATCACGGTCGTTGTGAAGTGATGGCCTGCTGTTGGGTATTGATATCAGATATTCAAGATTAATCTTGAACTCTCTATACCTAATTGTTCGCTGTCGGTATCCCGATAGTAGACTACCAGTAACTTGTGATGGCCTATGCCAAACCAGCATCTGTCAGATCCTTGGGTTTGCATGTACTCCAGTCCTTGCATGACCTTCAATTCTATCCCGACTGTCATCGTATGGATATAGGACCCCTCTACCCTTTTCCTAACAAAGACTGAGCTTACACCTCTTGCCTTTAAATTTCCCTTTCTTCGACCTTGGTTTGTATTTTAACTCCCGGCATCTTTTTGGTGCGCTAGCTCCCAACACTGTATTCTCTGACACCATTTGAAAGGATAAGTAAGACCTTCGAGTACGCCCCATTAAAACCATTATTGTGAGAAGACGAACAAGGGCACTAGAATCAACCAACGAAAATTTAAATTTATGTGCACCAATTCCAGGCCTTTCAGAAGATCGCAGTTACCATCGAGGGGGAAAGGGATCTGGGGGAAAACGTCTTGTCATCACATTCTTCGACTTTGCTATCGCAATCTTACGGGTTTGAGTGAGGTTTGCTTCCCCGGGGTCCCGGTGACATGGCTCCATTGATGTATGCCTTGACAGTTTTTGGAAACTTCCACGCTCAATCTTTGCGGGGTAGTAGGCTGCCTCCGGCAGATCCAAGCATGTTTGTTTGTCTATGAACATTCATTCGGTTTGAGTAAATGATGCAGTTGAACCGTTGTTGAGTGTTCTCGAACATTTGGAACACCCCCCCTTTTTTTGTCATCCATCTCCCTGAGTGCACTCGCAACCCTAACCCGTACAGATTGTCAAAGTCTCCTGCCTGCGGGAAGAGACTGTTTCTAATAAGAAACATTACTTGATTCACTCTTTCGGTAGAAGTGCTATCCAAGGTTTGCAAAGTCGGATGAGTGATTCCCCTGAACTTTCACACATCTTGAATTCCCACATTGTTACCCTTCTGCAGATGGTGGATGATTGCCGTGCGCCGTCACAGCACAGACGGGAACAAACCGACCCGATATGGATTTACTTACTCGGACCCTGGATGCCACTGATTCATGTCAACCTTCAAAGGCAGGAAATATCGAGCATACTTACTCGTCCTTCCACATAACCAGAAAGTGCTAGAATAGTTGGGATAGTCAAATGCCGTGCACAACTTTTGTTTGGTGTTTGTAAACGTGAGATCAGGGGTACCGTTGACAGCGGCATATCTTTGGGCAGATATCATTTTCTTGTCCACCTTCGTCACCACTCATCTAGCCCAGCCTAGATCATCTTGACAAGGCCAGGTCCTCTGTATCATTCCTACATGTTGTCAAAAGACGAAGATAGTACTTACGACCAGCAGATTCTATGTCGACATGCTCTTCCACTCGGAGAATAACAATTCAATGACATCACGTCTTCAACATGGGGTGGTCCATGAAGCCCTTTTCAAGCTATGAATATCCTTGGTTGACGGAAGAATTGGCAGCAGTAAACGATCGTCCCTTGAATCGGACCACAAACAACAAGGGAGCTCGGAGATACCGGCAACTATAGGGGACATGGTTTCTCATTTGAGTGACGATATAACGGACAAAAGGGAACCAGGAGTAAGGAATGAGGTGAGTTGCTTCTTGGACGTATACCTAGCTTTTTGCCACTGGGCCACCCCAGCGTCGTACCCTTGAGTCGGTCGAGAACCATGTCCAGCAAGGGAAGCTTATCTCTGTTCAACACCACGACGGTAACTATTGGGCGGAGAGCGATCGAGCTGCTGGGATTATCTCCGTTTCATGGTCGATCCCGCCTTCCTTGGCTTGTATGAGCGCCTTGAGGTAATCATAAATCGTGAGGCTGTATTCGTCTGCGGTGAGGCATAGGGCAGGGCTTCGTCAAGGATCATGTTATAGGTTGGAGAGACAAAAAGGAAGTCGAGAGAGCACTCTCTCGACAGAGAAATGAGGTATGAACATCTGCTGATAGGATGAGGCCTTAACTTCAGCACCTACCCTCTTCATACTTGCGCACTCCGTGGTCACTTGACTAGCTGGCAGATGACCTTGAAGGGCATGAATCCAGCAGCAATGCCCAAGGCTGGAAGTCCAATAGACAACGATTCATCTAGATCCAGCCACAAGTGTGAGTGACTGCTTTCATCTTTCCCCGCCTGACATCTTGCTACATTCGCAAGGACGTTGCATACCATGAGTCGAAGCACTTAACCGGATCCTTGTAGTGCCTCTCAACCACACTTCGTAAAAACATTGAAGTAACCTTCGGTTTAGTGTCGACGACTGTCATGTTTCAGATCCCTTGCCGTGGTCAACCAACAAGGCTGTCCCCGGTCCCAGGGTCTACCCATGTGGCTGTCTTAGTTGATAATCAGTCGACTTGATGAGCCAAGATAAGAGGCGACTTTGACCGCTTAACGCACGGCCTCTCCCATGCATCGTTGTTCAAGTTGTTGTATCCGGATATCATGCGGCTCGTAGAATGCTGCTAAGATGGTGTCGTCTAGCATATTTGGGGGCGGCCTCTTGTCCAGCTGAACCATCACCGAACCCCAGATAAAAGGGACAATTGGTCTCAACCTAAACCCATCACTTATTAGTGGCTTCTCTTGGTCAAACCTAGGCGTGCGGGCTTGACACTCTGCTCGATTGATGATTTGTCTGGTGCACAAACATTCCCATTACCGTGCTGGCGGACAGCCCTGGGTACGGGATCTTTTACCCCGTAGAAAGATGGTAAGCCAGAGCCTTGTCCTTCCGCACGGACAGTCAATCTTGTCGATGGCACGTCTCTTGACCTTTTCGGTCAGCCGAGCCGTTGCTCAGCATATCGACGCCTCGGAAAGTTCCCAAAGCCGGAATAGTTGATGGTCAGAGGTGTTGTGGAATTCCGAATGAGGTCCAGGCTGAAGGGTTGGCGATGCAGCGTCGTCGTATCCTCGGAGAGCACCACTGACCAGTTTGCCCGACTCATCCCAGACTATGTCAAGGACGTCCGCAAACACACTGGCGTGGAAAGCTGTACGACATTGGCATGAGCCGAAAATGGCCCAGGTCTCTCTGATCCTGGGCTTTGTCAGTGTCTTCCTTATCCTTGCGGATTTGTTGTTTCTCGGAAAGCAGCCGTATAATTTCGGGCTTTTACCCAGATGTCGATGTCGTAAGCAAGCTCGCAAGGTAAGCTATAGTCGATGCGACCCCCTTTTCTCGCCTGCCTTTTTCTCCCCGGCTTCCATGGCTCGCCGGCGGTGGTGGTCCGCTTGACTGTTTTCTGTTCCTGAAGGACGCCTTACGTAATATGACCATGATTCTGGAAGAAGCTGTGACGGCCCTTTTCCGTTTCATCTCCTCTGTTCCTGACCCCTGAAAGCTGAATCAAGCATCCCCAAGACTCGATCCCCACAGTTGATCCAAAAGGCCGCTTGTTTCACACTTGGACCCCCAGGTTGCACCCAAGCTGCGTTTGGCAATTTTCTCCTCCTCGAGCTGGGCGCACAAGAACATTGCTGAGTCTGAGCGCAGGGAATGGTAATATCTTTCAGGTGGTGAACTAGGCAATACTAGGCTAAACGAGCCCCAAGACCTGCAAGACAGTCAGTGTAAAATCGGTCAAATCAGCGGAAATGCCGGTTCCTGCGTCCACTAATTTCTGTAATGTCAACGTGCATGTTTGCGGGGTCATGTCGCATTGTGGCCCCCTTTTCGTCTCTGGGGACTTGTTCTCTTCTGGACACGCGATGGCATGCTGAACATGCTTCTCAGTTCATGCGATATGGACGCAGGCACCGCAGGCACGCAGCAGGGTTCGCCAGGACCAAAACAGACCCGATTGGCCTGTTGCGGTGGACGGGGAGACTGACTTCGTGGGGAACGACTTGGAGCTTGCCCTGTTTGGCGAGCCTGGCTCCCTGGACGATGTCCTTGCTGACGTTGCAGAGGTGCGCTTCTCGCGACCGAAGAGCCTCTGTTTCAAGAGCTGAGCTCCCGCGTCGTCGACCTCACCGGCGTCATTGTTTCTGTTTCAGGATCTGCCTTGGCACCTGCCATCACGGTACCGTTCGCTTCGATGGAACGCCGTCCAGATCAATCACGTTCTTGATCATGCCCTCCCTAGAGCGAAGGTAAGACGGACGAGCGCCAAGTGAGCAGTGAGAGCGGACCGGACTGAGTGGGATGATCAGAAAAGGTGCCGAAGCGATATCCAGGCGATGATGACATTGACTGGTCGAGGGATGACACTGTTGACTCGTTGAGGCACAAGATCAGAAAGCAGACAAGTCCGCACACAGGGAGACTCTCCAGACTGTCGTCATGATGTGTCAAAGACAAAGTCTGAATGTCAAACGCAGTTCGGCCTCACAGTCCATTTGCTTCCTTCCCTCCGAGTTTTCTGAGGTCGGGTCTTTCCTCATGCATTTTTGCTGTGGGATTGAAGGAGCTTCCTATCTACTTGCAAACGAAAACTCTTAAAATCTCTCAGCTCCACTGGCATACGCGGAAAGCTTCGCGGTGTTGCAATAGAGGCAAGTACCTGCCCGTTTCTCCTTCCATAGAGGTTTTTGGATGTGAAGAGTGATGGACAAGGCCACGGCAGTGACATTATACCTTGCCCGCGCGCGGTGGTGGTTCCTTCCCCGGGCCGCTACAGTGAACCCCGCTGTACCGGTAGACTTGAGGGGCG